CTTTAACTTATCGATATTTACGGCATTTTAGGCGACACTTTGAACATCCGTCCGATGATATATATAGACATGTACTGACATATGACCTGGAATGTAACTAAATTTTAAGGATAACTGTTATAGATTTATGCTGACGTAGCATCGTGCATTTTGCTACTTTAAACTTAAGAAGTTTAGCAGGTTGGCGCAGTAGTAAAAGTTCAGAGTACCAGGAGTGGAGCAGAGAGGTGCGGGTTCGTTCCCAGCTCTGTGCGCCAGTTTCTGGTCAGAGTCGGCGAGGAGGCCGGGCGGTTAAGCACAGCCAGAATTGTAGCAGTGAGTTGCGAGTTCGAGCTGTGATTGTGTGATCAACAGAGCTGGGCAGCGCTACTTTGAAATGTAGCGGCCGCTACAGCCACATGCTCTAAATGTAGCGGACGCTACCGCTACCCCTACAATTGCTTAAAAGTAGCGCCGCTACCGCTCCTGAAAATGTCGCGGCCGTTAGTAGCGGCCGCTACATGTAGCGCGCTACTGCCCACCTCTGGACTAACAACTAACATGTTGACACTAGTAACAGGCTGAGGTTGACAACATTACACCGAAATATTTCGTACAGTTTTATTCTGTAATTTATATTATGTATGTATCATGCTGATTTTTAAATAATATTTAATACTATTAAAAAAATCTAAAGGCTTTATCTATAGATGTAGCGGTAGCACTGTAGCGGCAAAACCTCGTATCGCTACTTAAATATGTAGCGGGCGCTACCGCTACAATTGCTTAAATGTAGCGCCGCTACCGCTTCCGCTACTGAAAATGTAGCGCGCTACTGCCCAAGCACCTCTGCTTTTACGGCTTATATTTTTAGCTATAGATGAACGTAAGAATCGTTTGATTAATTAAATGACGATCTAGCATATGTTCTCCTACATAAATAAGACTCGTGCAGTTAAACAAGCTTTTTAATACGCTGTGTTTAATTAATAAAATACCTACGTACTTTATTTTCCTCTCATATTCTCACTACTACGTATTCAATGAATCTATGAATGAAATGAGTTAATAAATTTATAATATTTAATCATATTTTTGCAAGTAAACATACATGACAAAAGTAGTGCATCTTTCTTGTGACGTCATTGGGATCCTATGAGTAAACACACCCTCGTCGGGCCATGCGTTACGTTGTTTCGGTGTCATATACGAGATCATTTAAAATAGAATAGAAGTGTCGGCACTGAAGAAATAGGCCCATGGCCTGTTGCCGATTCTTGTTCATAGAATATAATAGAAGTGTCGGCACTGAAGAAATAGGCCCATGGCCTGTTGCCGATTCTTGAACTTTTCTTGACTTGATTCACAATGGATCCGGCCTTTGGAACCCGATCTTTCCACAACTGACGATTGAATGAGATAGCTGCTGGACTTATTGCCTGCTCCGTAATTTGCTAGGCATTTTAAGACTGAACATATGCTCCAGCATAGCTTCGTCTAGTCTGTTCTTGAAGGCGTTCATACTCGGAGCGTCAACGATGCTATCAGGGAGGCTGTTGACCTCCTTGATATGAACCTCCTCCTTGATTGAAAATTGACCTCCTCAAAATGGCCAGAAAAACTGTAATAACTGCAACTAATGCTATTATTTACGGTGCCGGTGTTACTTACATATTTTCTTGTGCGGAATAATAAATAAATGACTAAAAAAGATGGGTTGACTGATAAACTTCTATTAGTATTAGCTATGCCAGTAAATGCAGTAATGGCTGCCTCTGCTTAACGGTCGAAAAAAATGGAGGGGAAATTCTAACTAATTGATTTTCAGCTAACGCCGTATATTCTTGCGTCTCTGTTATTATTTTCGTTAATGCTTTTCTTTTGATTCATCTCTTACTTGCCATTTTTTAAGGAAAGTTATATTGAAAACTTTCAGTCTCAACCTTGCATTATATTTAGCCATTTAATTTTTAGGCGACCTAGGACCCAGTGGCAGTAGCAATCACTATCAGCCTATCTTATGCTTCAAGGTCATTCAGGATGAAACATATTTGATACTGTCAGCACGAACATGGTCACAACTATTTTTCTGAGATTTTTAGAAGATAGGTAGAGTATGTAATGTTGACAAATGCTTATGGTTAATTCCATTTAGAGAGGCATTAGTATAGGTTACAGATATAGGTTTAAGATACCGATATAGATATAGGTTTCATTTGAGCTGAATTAATGTGTGCTGTCAGTGACACTGACAGGATTGTTATTGTCAGAATACTGGATAGATAGGTTAAGGTGACAGCTGTAGAGATGGGCAAAGCAGTGGGTATTTTTATTATTCCTCAAATATTATTTTGGATATTTTGGTATTGACAAAATTTGACTAAACTCTTCAGGGAATTGAGAAGAATCTGCATATTATAAAGTCAATACAATTGTGTGACCGAAAGACAGTGACACTCCTTAATCAGCATAGGATTTTGGAATCAGAGGCTGACTTTTTAGGGAATCATTAATTACTGTATTTCATGCACCATTTTGTAATGAAAAATTTTTTAATCGCTGATAGGAATTTTACTTTTGGAAACATGAAGACTAGGTAGCTTAAGGCCCTAAGGTAGGGAGTACAAAGGAAGTTTTTTTGCATCAAATAGCCAATCAATACTGAGAAATATCAATAATATCAATATCAAAGAATAGAGAAATATCAATATTTCAACCATGCATGACACGTCAGCGGACTCAAACGCAAAACACTACTTTTGTGCCTCCAAACAGCTCATAGGTCTCTCAATTCAGAATGCAATATAGTGTCCTAAAATTGCAATACAAAATATACCTATAATTGTGAGCAATACACCGCGATAGAAATTATTACAAATTTTTGCGTTATTTCGTTTTCAATTAAAACAAACAAACTCAACTTCTGCACAACCGAACAGCTTTAAAGTTCTTCTATTCTGAACGGATCCGCCTGTAATTACAAACTTAACTAATTATTTGCTATACGTTATGCCGCGACAGTTGTAGATACTACAGATTTTTGCGACAACTAATTTTCAATGAAAACGAAACCGTCCATAAATTAGGTTAGGCTATGAATAGGTTAAGTTAGAATTGGTTAGATTAGCCTATTTGGTACTAAATCATCTGCCTAGGTCAGCGCCATTGCATTCCGGTAGAAAAATCAAGCGAACTGATTTATCAGATTTCGCGTGGAACTTTAAATTAGGTATATAACTGTCCTTAATACAACACTTACCACTGTGAAAGTACTTAGCTTGTCAGATTTGTAGGAGTATGAAATTCCATCTACTAATATAGAAAAACAGTCATATTTTAAGTGCAAACCCCTCAGAGGAGACTTCGGACGCGTGTCTGTGGGCGTCAGAAGTCCGATGGGATTTCGCGCTCCGATGGGGATTGTTCCTGATCGCCCCACCGCTGAGCTCGCGGTGTCTGACTGCGTGTATCAATTGCGGGGTTAAGTTATTATGTAGGTAGGATTGCTTACATTAAGTTATTATGTAGGTAGGATTCCTTACATTTCCCTTCTCTATCTCTCTCGTGCGGGCGGCCGACGTCCCGTGTAAGCGACCTCTTGTTCGAGTGTCTTACTTTCTGTTGCTTTTCACCTGTCCCTCCTTGTCACTTCGTCTCTTTGAGATGCTAACGCTGCTTCTTTCTAGCCAGCTTCAGCAGGCTGGACAAATGAGACCTTCCGCCCTTTGTAAGTGACGATTAATTTGAAATATTGAATAATTGAGTTCTTCCGCCTCGCTGGCGATGTTACATTTCTACCTCCGGTGCGAAATAGCTTGATGGCTGTAGCGCCAGCAAACCTTATTAAACTAATACTACTATTGAAGTGCAAAAAGCAATCATATTTCGGTAGCCTTAAGTACCAGCGGATGACGTAGATTCAGACCGTGACGTTTTCCAAAGTGTAGGGATCTAACATTTTGAATATACCTTTGGTGTGAGAAAAGCAAACACCTGTAAACTCGCCAGCCTTACTCATAATAGCAGTTTCAGCGTTTATTAGGCCGTAGGCCTGTCGCCGATTTGTGCTCATGGAATCTTTATTGCTGGAAATCATTGTTCACATTTATAACGACTACAAAGATATCTTTACTTTAAATGTTTCTATTCATTTGATTATATGAATGTAATTACGAGATAATATAGTTGACGACTTGAATGAGTAATTATAAGTGAGATAAGAATATAAAACCCAACCAATTTGTACTCTTATTCCTAGAGCATATAGTTCTTCCCAGTTGATTGGATAATTAATCATTTTAACAAACCTAAAATTCAATTTCTGTACGTAATCATAAATGCTACTATATTGTACGGCATGTACCTGACTCGCCGCGTCGGCGTGCTCTTCCACCAAAAGGCGGCCACAAGCTTTCTTTTGTAGCGTCAATTGAGTACAATAATTCCATTAAATGTGTATTTCGTGGCGATAATAGGATAGGATTATGTCGTTAAATGCTGTGCCATGACTTGTATTCATACGATACTCCTAACTTATATACATGAATTTTAAATAATGAATTATTCGATTTGATACTAGTTTCTTTTTCACCTATGATCGAACTTTCAACCTAGGTCAATATTTTTGGAATAACATTCAGGACATGTGAAATTATTGTAAATAACATTCATTTCGTGCTTCATTTGTCCATTATTAAAAACAAGTGTTCTATCTAATGCAGCCGACTATATACAGAATTTTTTTCTCGCAAGTTGTACAAATTTGAGAATTTTACGACCTCGCGAATCTTTCTGCCTCAATTTTTTCGATATTAATGTCGTAGTTAAACTCTAATTTCTGTTAGTAGACAGGATAGAGTCCACCAATAACTTGCATCATATGCATAGGTTGAAAACCGTTTTTGTGCGGTAGTTATACTATTCATATAATTAACCAGATGACATTTCACAACTACTCCAAGTGTGATTTTGTCATAAAAAATTTCAGAAAAACAAAAATCTATTTTTATACATAAATTAGCTTTTCTATCACTCGTATTATTTTAGATTATATGAGCGTTTTCCTCAGCTTCGTCAGGCAATCCCTTGCATTTTAATACCCTTTGGTTATATAAACAAAGAAGTCACTTGCGTATGGTCGCATCAACCAAACAAAAAAAAAAAAATCGCGAATAAATGTACGCTATTAACCCGAATATGTACTTTATAATTCCGTGCGCAATTATTGCGATAGATATATAGGTAGTTCGAATAGAACGAAATTTTAATTTGGTAGAATCAAAATGTATACAGAAGGCAGAATTGTTCTGAAAGCGGAATTCCAGTTTAATAAATCGCTTCAAGCTTTGAACAAAGGCCACGTCACAAATTCAATGACGTGATATGTATCAAAAGGAAACATTAATAATATGTCAAATCATGCGAGTAAATTAGGAAGTGAAAGGATACGAGTGCAACATAAAGAATGATTACATGTGTAGATCGCTTACATGGATTACATGGCTTTCTCCGCTGACTCTCACTTGAACCGTTAAATGCAATAGGTTATCCACTAGGGACGGTCAACCGTACTTCTTTCTTTAAAAAAAACTTGAAGTTAGTAGCCAATCCGTCATGAACCTTGGAGCATTTTTTATTGCTGCTACCAAATAGTCGGTTCTCCCCCACATCATACAATACGCTTTCACAACAATACGCATTCTCTATTTAATAGCATCCACCCGACAAACGCCCCCGTTCATGGATCGTGCAGTGCGGACGAAGGTTGTATTCCGCCAACAGGCGATGGTTCTCCAGGGTTCGATTTTCGAACGTCAGGTAGCGACAATCGTCCGGACGATTTGGCATGCGCTCCCGCAACCTCAACACAGTCTCCGTCCTTGGGTCCACGTTGAACGTATGCGTCTGCCCACGGAGGTCTTGTACTTGCACTTCAATCTGAAAAAATTAACAGCGTCTTATGTGTCATAGAACGAGAAAGGTTGCATCAAGAAATGGCCTACTCCGATCGCATAAGTTGCTAAGTTGCGAAACCAATACAAATTGATGGTTCATAATAAAAATATGGTCGGATAATGTGCCAACTGATGGAATTATATAACATTAGCTATTACCTTAGGTTTAACGTTCACTTACAGTTTTTGGGTTAGAATTAATTGAGGTTGACGGGCGTCGCATTTCATCCTGTTGCAAGCGTTCAACTTTTTCCAGGACTTTAGCTGGTGGGTCCCTGGGAGAGACTTCCTTCTTTGCATTTTTTGGATGGATCAGCGTCAGAACAACGGGAAGTTTAGTCAAAGTTCCTTTATTGCGAGCTTTGCGACACTTCTGGCAAGCGTATTTATCGTTCGTCTCAAGATCTTTGAGGCAGAAGGTACAGAAAGCGTGACCACATGTCAGCAGCCGAGGTGGGTTTGCTTCACAGTAGTCATCCAAGCACAAGTCACAAGTATGGAATCCAGAGGCAGCTGAGTTACTCTGAGGACAAATGGGTTTCGATTAATTACCAATAGAAGTTATACATGACTGACGCTATGGCACGGTAACACATGCACTCAAGAAATTCAATGATGAATTCATTATTACAATACAAGTGGAAACGTTTACAAAGTTTTGATGCAGCAACCAAGTGCTGCTGAATGGAATAAACGATTTAAAAAAAATCGCGATGAAAATGTTACTGCAACGCAGGCTTACCGTCGAAACCGCAGATACAGAAACCGATTCAGAGTCATCCGAATCCATGGGAACGACTTCTCTCCCAGTAGGTCCACCCGAACTTGCTTCAAGAGGTACCACGTCCCGCCCATTCCTGGCAGAACCTTCTCCAGAGGCACCAGAGTTCGCCGGAATTAGATCGTACACCGTAGGCAAATCCGAGATATTTTCAGAGCAAGTCTTCTTGCACTTCTTCACGCCGCATTTCATATCATCTTGGTCTTCCAAAGCGGAGAGACAACTTCGGCAGGAGACATGGCCACACGGCAGCAGTAATGGCTTTCGGTCTTTTTCATCGTAGGACTTCTTGCAATGAGGGCAGGGTGGTAATGATGAATCAGCCATCTTATCTGTTAAATCATGAAACTAGGTTGTAACGCACACCAAACGAAAATGTAATGATAAAATCAAGGCTGAAGTATTTAATCAATTTTTTTCCTCTTCAAACTCAAAGTAGGCTAATTGAATTTTGAAGTGAAAAGATTATTCATTCGTGATCAGCTTAGTTTACTTTTTGATTGCTCTAATTTGAACCTCATTTGAAACTAATTTGTCTTTGAAAATTAAGTTATCGCAATTAATTTAGACCCTCTCAAAACGATGTAGGTACGTACGAAAGTGCATTAACACATACTACCAGACTTGTAGCTAACTACAAAATTTTCTCGAGTTAAATTCTTTTTGTTTAGCCTCCTTAAAAATTAATGCAGTGCATATTATTGTATTTTTATAGATATCTTGATCGCTGCAAACTAGGTACAATACTGTAATTGGCTGTTGTATTCCTCAATTCAATTGTTTATTAAATCCTTGTTATGGAAACTCAAATGCTAAATAGTAAAACAAATTAACTAAACAACAGAAACTTCGTTTCATTCATCACGACGCAATATTATCAAAATTATAAGACAATTATATTTCAATTTCATTCCTTCAACCGTAGCAAAATCTATAATAAATTGAAGGCTGCTCCATTTGTGCAGCGAAAAACTCAATTTATTCAACTGGCCATAATTTATGATGAATGCAATTTTAGGTCCGTTTAGAAATTTAGATTTTTTATAATAAATTCCTGAGACACACTAATTATAGTTTGCCAAAATTCTTCGATGATAATTGATCTCCATCCGCCTCAGGCTCATAGACAACGGTCAACGTTAAAACTGCAGTTTCATGAGACAAATCGACATTTAATCGTACTTTACTTCCCGATACAACTTGAATCTTAAAAAGCAACGTTAAACTCTAATAAATCAAAAATACATGACAAAAGTCAGCAATTGAAGCTTCGACCGTTAATGAAAAGGGTTAACTTACCAATTTTTAGTTGAAACTCTACAGTCTTTATTGCAACACCACGGCGTTCACGTCTCCAGGCACAGTGATCCGCTACGTTGTGGCACCTCTATTTATAGTTGTATACAAGCAGTTGTAACAGGTACCAAACGAGTTTCCTTGTCGATCGAACGAAGAATCTCAACTGGGATGCATGCAAACGTTAAACGGCTATAATCTATGATTACAGACAACACGTGCTAAATGACAGCATCTGTATACAATAAATAATAATTATCAACAAAATTGTCAAGATTAACTTCTATTATGTCATATTGTTCATATAATCCATATCTATTATGAACGTTTAAAAATATCTTGGACTCTGTAAAACGGCGGGATTAAATTGAGTAGCAATATAGATAACAGAATAATATTTCAATCAATGAATAGTCAAATTTCGGTCCTACGTATATGCATAAATGAATGAGTTCTCTACTCTACTCACATCGACCGAAGCGGCTGGTGTATTAAATCTCAGTTATCAATAAGATATGAAATAATCACACATAATGAAAATTATTCATTATTTATGTCGTGCAGTCTGTCGAATTCCAACAAATGGATGTTTTATTATCATAAATCGCTCTACATTTTGCACATTCCTGAACTGGAGAAAGAAAACAAGCGTCAAGGTTGAATAAAAGAAACAACTTTTCGCTTAAAGTCAATAAACAGTTTGAAAAATCTGCCTGTTGTTTAGACTCTAGACGAAAGCTTCAATGAACAGCCTCAAAAATTTGCAAAGTTTGAAGGTAATGAGCAACAATATACACTCCGTGACCATCCCATAAATTATTTTTTTTTTCTACATGTTCGACAGAGAAGAAACGGAGTATCAAGTGACACCGGCTTTTATTTACTAAGCTATGCGTATTTTTTTTGCTTAATTGCTTAACACTAATATAATCTGCCCACAATGCTGAAGTTTGTTTAATCCTTACCTATTACTGCAAAGATTTTTTGTAAATATTGCTCCTTGAAAATCAAGCTAATGCGCAAGAATATATGGAAACAACAGTCATTTTTTAGTTTACCATTTATGATAATTTGCCTGACACATATGGCAATATGAAATATTGCCTGTTTGAATTGACTGATTAGGTTTTAAAAGATTGAATCACACCCTATTTAGGAATAAAATTTGAGATTGAGACGCAAATCACTTTCAAGTGCAGACTACCTACCGTTAATCATTTCGGGAAATACCATATACTCTGATGCCCTCCGCTGTCTTCGTCGTCAATTTTTCGTCTCGTTGGGAAGAAGCTTGTCCCGAACAGTTACTGAGTCTGGCAAAGGCAGACACTTCACATCAATTAGAGGAAACCTGCAGCCGGTACCTTGGGTGCACGCAAAGTCCCATCGTGTAACTGTTGGAGTGGCTCGTCTTCGTCTGAGGCATTTATGGGTTAAGCATAGTGATAAACCAAAGATTTTTTTTAATCGGTTCATTTTAATTTCTTCATTTACTCAAGATTTAAACCAATATCATATGGATAATAATATTGGTATCCATGATACTCTGCTGGTCTACTCACAAGACTCAAAATTTAACTTGAAGAAGAGTCTAAAAAACTCTCTGATTTGCGGGGCCCGGCCCTGTAAAACCCTACCTTCATCGCTTTTCAATGTCAGACACAACATTGTGCGGGACTTGCGGAGTGGAAGAAACTATCGACCACCTCTTGCTAGAATGTATTTGCTATAAGGATGCACGTCAACTAATGAGTAATATTTTGTTTAACTAATTTTACTTAATTCATACGCAACTTAAATTTTTTTTTAATTAATGAAGCAGACCTTATCAAACATTGGCATTGAGATTCTGACACTGCGCACATTGCTTGGAAGCGGAGACACCACAAAACGGGAGCAGGCCAGTTCGCTGAAGTGTCGGACCGGTAGCAGCACCTTATCATCAAGGCAGTAACTGCATTCCTCGCAAATACCGGCAGACTGGAGTCATTGTGAAATCACAATAACCGAAGAGAATGAAACGGCTCACAGCTGATAATGCAACTACAAGCCTGAACTAAATTGCTATGACCAGGTGTGAGAACCGACCTGTGTGAGGTCATTTACAACACCCCTAAGAAGACAACTTATTTTGGGAACTTGCGACTTCACTCTTTAGTCGTGCAAACATTCATGCAACTACGTAAATGGCGAGTATATAGAGCACATCGTTAAAAGTCTAAAGTGCGTCAATAAAAGATAAACATTCAACTTTATATGCATGCTAGGCGGTAGTTTCCCATTGTATGACGCTGACGGTCTGTGCGCAGAACTCACAATCATTCGTTTCAAGTAGCAACTTCCCTTCCAGGGAACATTTTTAGGTTAAACGGAGGAAGACCGAAGATTTGATATGCAGTAATTTAATATTAACTCTGTGTAAATGCTTGAAAGAAAGTAACCAAGATGTGCAGCAAAACATTTTCAACATGTAAGAAACTATGAGAAAACACCTTAGGTCGCTTTGATTCGCGGAAAAAATCTGTTGACTAGTGACGAGGGAAGTTTGAATCTACAGTGCGGAAAGTGATTTTCAACTGCCGGTTAACTGCATTTGAGTTGCTCCCAGACTTTGAACCGATCTTTTTTCTCACATCGTACAATAATTAGCATGTAGCTGAACTATTTCACGTAATTGACCGATGGATGAATTTATCAGTAGTCTTCAGAACTATAATTTTATAGATATCTCCAAATTGTAAAAATGTCAAAGATTGCATCAAGAGTGGTTCTTGACAACAGGGACAAAAAAGTGCAACAAGATGCCCTTTTACTACACAAGGAGCTCCATCGCTCATGCCAGTAAGAAGCATTTCTGTTTGGTAGTGTTGAGCACTTGAGCAGAGTTGAGCTCAAACATTTAGGTATTTAACTTTTCATATTCAGTCTGTTACAATTGCAAAACAGTGGTTTTACCTATTTTGAATTTGAGTTTCAGTGGAAAATTAGAATTTTTTTCAATTTTTAAAAATTAGCCTATTTTTACCAGCAAGGCAGCAATTTTTGAAAATTGTCTGTGGGCATGAAACATCTTACCTATTTACTCTTAATTTCCAGAAACTTCTGTGAAGTTCTACCTACACAATTCTTCAAATTGGCCTGGAACTGGAAATGCAAATGTAGTAGGCTAGTCGAGTAAGTCGACCAGCCTAGTCGTACTTCAAAATTTGGCAACATTCATTATTCAATGCATAGTGACAAACCAGAGATTTTTTAGAATCAGTTCATTTTTAATTTCCTCATTTACCTAAGATTTAAACCAATTTCTTATGTATGATAATGCTAGTATCCAGCCTCCAGGTACCAGGATACTTTACTTGTCTACTTATAAGACTCAAAAATGAACTGGAGGCAGAGTCTAAAAAACTCTCTGCCTTGCCACTATGATTCAATGCAACAAATTGTGATCATTAGGGTAAACGCGGTATATTCCGACACATTAAGGACCCATCAAGAAATGAAAAACTATAAAAAAAAAACCGTATGCGTTTCGTAAGTTCTGTTGCCTTCACATGACTCTCAAAACACTTCACTACGCGTCAGCAACGATGAAACGTCACAAAATGTTGCCATATTTATTAAAAAGCCTTTAGAATGGAAACCTACCAAATCCCTATATTCCGTCACTGTGTGTGGCAATATTCGACATGTGGTGAGTCGTATTGCGTCAGCGCTTCAAATTTAACTGATATGTAATGCCGACATCAACGTATTCGAATTCCGTTCACTGTGTGAGCTGTATTGGGATACAACACGGCTTTGAATTAGAACACTAACAAATATTGAACACTACTTATTTACATTTTATTTAACAGCTATTAGGCTTTTAATTAAGCAAATTTCAATTTTTGTACAAAGCTTGGAACGATCTGTATGTGTCCAATTCAAGTTGTGTCGGAATTAGTTTTGATGGGCCTAAATCCATTAATCAATGTAATAAGTTAATCATCTATTAATTTATTTACGACTTGAAATCAGCAAATACAAGTTTACTTAAAGGATTCCTAATATATTTACAGACGTATTTAAAAGTCTCAAACCATAATATTCTTCCTATAAAAACAGTTATTCACTATTTGGTAGAGCCATGTCAACTGTCAAATTTGACACATTTTTCGATGATCTCACCACGTGGCATGCATTGTCTCTCTTTGGATCTCAATATTTTCCCACTAGATGGCCAAGACCTAGTGTTTTTGCAGTATTTCGACACGCAAATGTATGACGTCACCATTTCAACCATCAATGAACGCATGGAACTAAAACAAAGCTTAATATAAAGGAAAAGCTGGAGAGGTGACGGAATTACCTACGATGTCGGAATATACCGCGTTTACCCTAGGGCCTAGTAGTCAGTCAAAATGTAACTGTGTCAAATTGGCATCAGATGGTCAGTGACCTGTTAACCATTAACTTATGATGTTAAACCTGTCTCTTATACACATCTAGATGTGTATAAGAGACAGATCTGTGTGTGTCCAATTCAAGTTGTGTCGGAATTAGTTTTCATGTGTCGAAATCCAACATCTCAACTTAATCATCTATTAATTTATTTACGACTTGAAATCAGCGAATACAAGTATACTTAAAGGATTCCTAATATATTCACAGACGTATTTAAAAGTCTCAAACCATAATATTCTTCCTATAAAAACAGTTATTCACTATTTGGTAGAGCCATGTCAACTGTCAAATTTGACACATTTTTCGATGATCTCACCACGTGGCATGCATTGTCTCTCTTTGGATCTCAATATTTTCCCACTAGATGGCCAAGACCTAGTGTTTTTGCAGTATTTCGACACGCAAATGTATGACGTCACCATTTCAACCATCAATGAACGCATGGAACTAAAACAAAGCTTAATATAAAGGAAAAACCAGAGAAGTGACGGAATTACCACGATGTCGGAATATACCGCATTTACCCTATTCAGATTTCAGACAAATAATTTCTCGTAAGATGAAAACTTAAATTTTAACCCTTTACGCCCTGAATTTCTGGGACGAAAATTGTAAAGTTCACTTTTTCGGTTTCAAGTCTCACTTCGAAGCTGACATTCTGACCTATCCAATGGTACCAAAATCATCGCTGTACGTTGATTTATGCCTTGACGACAGTTTGTGAAAGTGTTAGGGGTGGGGGAGTTCTTTCACATTTAATATGGGCAAAAATTACTGGTTGGGCACATAAATACCGTCAACCGGGGCTACTCGGGACAAGCGGGGCTACTCGGGACAGGCCTCCAACACGTCCTAAAACTTGTACCTAGTATTGAAACTAATTGGAATATTGCAAAACTAAAAATAGTGGCATAAACGTCAACATTTTTCCTATCTATGTAGTACCTATAAAGGAAGTCGAAAAATACTACATTTACTTGCTTTGAAAAATTCCTGAAAAAAATGGTGAAAAACTATATTTTGTAAAGTTACAACTGCTAAGGTACGTATGTAGCAAAAAAAAATATTTGCTGTATTAAAAAATTTTACTTACATAAAAGTTGCACCCAGGTGTCGGCTTGAAAACGTAATTGACAGAATTTGCCTATCTCATTCCAAAAAGAAATGGTAGCCATTTCCCCACGGTGGGGCTAGGTGGGGCTACTCGGGACACCCCCCCGGGGCTATTAGGGACACCCCCAAAAACGCATTTACGGTAGAACCTCAGTTAGCAAAGGCTCCAGTTAAGAACAAATTGATTAAAAACAAAGAATATTGATTACATTTACCTCCCTGAGCGAAAAAAGTTCTCTTATCATCACACAAATTACAAGCTGTCCTGTATGCTTACAGATACAGAAAAAAAATGCTATAAGGCTGCCAATATGAAGCTTGCAGAGAAAAAGGTTGTTGTAAATGCTCAATGGCATGTTCATGGATATGGTAATATCCCATCAATAATACAGTAATATCCCATCAATAATAGGGTACCATCAACTGGGGGATTGGGCCCCATTCGTAATGATGGCCAAAGCAGGGTCATAAACAATGGCCAAAGTCGCTCCGGCATTTATGACCTGGTTTACAACCCTGGCGTTTATTACCCTGGCGTTTATGACCCCGCTTTTAGAACCCCAGCATGAATCAAAAACAAGGTTGAAGTCACCCCAGTTGATGGTAATTAATGTTTATGGTAATATCATATCAATAAAGGAAAAACAAGTAGAAATCACAAAATGTCATTTATTCTACCTCTACATCCTCTACAATGAAAGAGGACTTCAGAGTACTTTTAGTACCTAATGGATGAGTTATCATGAGTAAGCTCTGCATGCTTCAAATGTTTTGAAATGAAGTTTTATTCCCATTGTCCCGAGTATCCCCCCTGACCGACGGGGCTACTCGGGACAATCTTTATTTTGCATCTGGCACCTTAGGAATAGCATATGGAATTTTTTTACAATGCCATTCAATAGCCCTGGCAAAGAGCTATAAAATGAGCCTAAATTTGTTTATGAAATGTTTCATCGTAATAAGTTATTAACAGTTATTAACAAAAAAGCAATCAAATCTGTCCCGAGTAGCCCCGGTTGACGGTATGCAACCTGAAGACGCTGATCTTTAGTTACCCGGCTGCTGTCATGTGGGATGGTGCTCATGCAGTCGTTCCCACTATCCGTGACTGAATTTTGGCTCCAGTAATGTCTAGTCTTGCATCCATGTCACCTTGAATGCCTATTTCGAGGCGCTCAGGACTTTGTCGCGCTCTACTGAGCATTCACACTTATTGTCACTGCAAACCTATTTCTTCCCAGAATTTTTAAGCTACAGCAATGAGTAATAAACCGTTCGATTTGCAAATAAAAGATCTAGAGATTGGTCGAAGCTTTTTTTTCAATTTCGTTGAAGTTTTGAAAATATTTTGAAAAAAGGGGAGGGGAAATTCAAAAGGGTGGGGGGAGAAATAATTTTTTTTTTAAAAAATGCCCACCCCACCCACAAAAATTAGAATCTCGAAAAACAGCAAAGACCAATCGATAGATATGGTCTTTACGCATCGAATGATATGCGTCTCGATGTTGTAGCTTGAAAATCATAACAGGAGATAGATTTCTACAGTACCCCCTTTTTGGCAGTTTTCTAAGAATTTCACGTTTTCTTTCACTTTTTTGGAAAAATTCCTACGAACAAAAAAGTCTTAGATTTATCTTTTACATATGTGTACCAAATTTCAAAGTTATCTGTTAGTAAATAACCGAGATAGAATTTCCATAAGAAATTGGACATTGCCATTGGAATTTGGAAATTATATTTCGGTTATTTACTGACAGATAACTTTGAAACTTGGTACACATATGTAAAAAATAAATCTAAGACTTTTTTTATTCGTGTGAATTTTTCAAAAAAATGACAGAAAACGTGAAATTGTTGGAAAAGGTAGCTAGTCCCTGGTGTGACGAATTCGTCACGCCAGGGCGTAAAGGGTTAACCAAGTTTTCTCATTTAGTATGTGCTGTGCTGCTGGCCATAACCCATAATACCTAGATTAATAGTACAGCTGAATTTACAATTGCCCAAATGTTATAGTAGCAAATTTCAATTTTGAAGATTGCTTCAAATTTACCAGCACCCAGCAACTTTCGATTTCTAATTTACTAAAGTTTAAAGCCAATTACCGTAAAATGGGGTAACTTAGACCGGCGGGGTAACTTAGACCACTTTTCGTTTTTTCAACAAAAACCCCCACAACTCAAAAACTATTTGACATAGAAAAATTTTGTCAATGGGCATTAAAGGCCTAATACTGAGGCTACATAACACAATAGAAAAATTTGAAAAGTTTGCGTATCTAATAGGTTAAAAAATTAAAAATGTGACCCACAAAAAAAACTATTATTTAAATTTTTTTTTTTTAAGTATTTTATTTTCTCCTTTTTAGTCCGTTGCTACACATGAAAAACGTTGTTGCGAGCCAATTTACTTGACTTGACGTACGTATCGATGATACGCAGCGTAAGCGCCGGCTCGTCTATAACGTCAGCGCCCGCACGTCATACTATATACCTATATACTATTTATATATATATTTTACTTAATTAAGCAAATTTAGGTCTCTAATTGCTAGTTTTTATGATTGTATCTGAAATTGTTAGGCGAAAATAGCCTGCATGCCGAATTTTAGATCTCTAGAGCAATCAGAAGTGGGCTAATTTTCGTTGTCAATGTTAACAACAAACAAACAAACAAACAAACGCGAAGCTAAGCTAAGAAAAACGTGTTAAAATTACTGCATTGACCATTCAACTTCAATTGTGCATACGAAATCCAATGTAATTTAACCTAAAGAACATGTTGAAATTGCAAACAAAAAATAGGTCACTCGGTGTCTTCAAAAGAAGAAAGATCCATTTATACAAATAGGAAGTTTAGCATGAGCTGCCTAAACTTGAAGTGCTAAACCATTTCCATTAACAAATACCGTACAGCTGTAAAAAGGTGAAAAATTGTATTATCAATAATTTATTTCCAATAAAAAATGGGGTGAATAATTTATAAAGAATTTTTTTTCAACACTAGTGATCAATGACCTACTAATTTTTTTGAAAATCCCAATAATGAAACCATTAGGTTAACTGTTTTCACACTGCTAGGTAGTTTTTAAATTGCCATATAATTGAAAAAATTAATTTCATTTTAATTTATTATCCTGTGATGGGTGAGTTATTGTGTTAAATTTGTTTGTTTTTGCAGATTCATCTCCCATGTTACTGGAGTGAGGTGCAGTGGCTGCTCTGATCTCTTCACCCATGGAGTACATCTGGCACTGTTGGCACATCACCTGGTGCCTGACTGTGTGCCTCTCAACAAAATTTATGATAGAACTCTGATCCGCTATGAAGGTGCTGGCAATCTCCCTTCATTCCGCCATTTAGATAACATTAATCTCTTCATAAGAGCTCTTGACAATCTTGGATTGCCCAAGGTGAGTGAATTGTCCATGTATGTATAATAATATTAAATCTCTGATAATCCTAGTGAGAATCCCTTGTCCTGAGAATCCTGTGTAATCCTGGCCCGATAAATACACAGAGCAACAAAATTTTTAACTTTGAAAAAGTAGATGATATTAATTCATTAGTTTTGAAATAAGCCTGAAAATGATTCATTCAATCTGTCTTTGAGAATGCTAAACTTCTGCAAAAATGTTGAATGTTTTATTATTCAATAATAGCTCTAAGCAAATTACATGGAAAATAAGATTTGGCTACCTAATTCTGGATAGAAATTTTAATCTGCAATTGTAGCTAGAGTTTTGTCAACTCTAATGTTTAACTCATTTTTATCGACCCTTTTATTTCATTTGGCCAGATTCTGCAGCCTGAGTGTCGTGACATATATGAGGGACATAATTTACCACAGCTTGTCTACTGCTTGCGAGCATTACAGTACCTGTCAGGTTTCGAAGGTCTCCAGTCTGATCCTCATGTGGAGTGTCCACCTGGTAATAAGCTTTCATCCGAATTTATTCTTAAAATACTTTTCTGAAACTTTTTTTCAGGAATTTATATGTTAGAAGGCAACATGTATGAATTATATAAATTTATAGTATATTATGTAGATAACTGTTCTCTTGTGATTTTTCTTAGTCTTTAAATGAATGAATGTAGAACTTGATATGTTTATCATAACTATAGTTACTAAGCAGTATAACTTACTTTTGACTTACTTTTTCATCTTTTGTAGATGTACTAGAACGCCTGCATGATTGTGTCAAAGGATGCAAGCTGCCTCCATTTGACAGTGTTTGTGAAGTCCTTGGAAGCAGTCATGGCAATTGCATTGATTCCACTTCCCAAACAAAGCAAAATGTGGGTGTTCTTTGAACTAATCTCTTCATTATTATGCAATTATCTGGCAAAATTATGTTATACTGAATATAGGTGCTACATTCAGATAAAACCTTTTTTTTTATACGTTTCAAGTCATTTGATTGAGTCATCAAATAATTTGAGAAAGATCACTGAAATTAACAGAAAGTTGAAGAAATATCATTAAAGTCTCTAATTATTGAATAGAATAAATTTTGAGTTTTCAAGTGTTTTATATAAATTTTACTACGGTGTTTCTATGCATAAGCCCCTATTGCAAGTCCTCGTTATTTTGGTAATTTTTTTTTCCCAGGTGGCAAGGTTCTGGGTGGACCCTAGAAATGCTGACAAAGAAAATTCTTCTGAAGGATCAGAAATATATTCTGTTCCCAGACAACCTCCAAGACCTGTTCTGTCTCTGAGTAATAAAGGAAAAGCTCATTTGTCTTCAAACCGTCCTCCAGTGTCGCCAAAGCCCAGCAAACTTTTAACACCCAGAGGCAAAACTAACCCAGAAAAATGGGCTGAAAAGAAGTCTTGTGACGATAATACTACTCCACTTAACAATCAAGCATACGCGAGGAGCCTCTCTGCCCAAACTCATATCAAAGAAATCAGTTCTGCTCAAAATAGTGAGACATCTTATCAGCAAGGCCGTCCTGTTCTGCAGCCTTTGTCTACTAATGAGTCTACCCCGGCTTCCATGAGGGAATGGGTGCAGCATCAGAGACAGACCAAAGAAGCTCAAATTGGCACTACTAAACATGTCCCTGCTGCAAATTTCTCACATTCGTTCTCACCAAAATCTTTGTTCAATCAAGCTCCATCGTTGAAAAAAATTGATGATGTTATTGGTCATTGCATCAGTGAAAATGTTTCTTCCTTCAACAAACGGAATACAGATGGTGAAAAGTTTCAACACCAAGAAAGCAGTTTCAATAATGAGATCAAACACTCAGCCATCCGTAATACTGTCTGTATGGAATTTCAAGAAAATGCAACTAATCAAAGTGCCTCAAGCTTTTCAAAAGTCAATAACATTTTTCTTTCTGGTGCTAATCAAAATGTGTCTCACAGTCGGACTCCATCTTCTCCCTTTGAGTTTGTAAAGCCTCTCTCACCTTCCTACCGCTTAGCCTCTCAGAAGGGCATCTCTGTCGCTTCGTCTGTGTGTTTGTCGTCATCTCCGTACCGCACACGAGCAGCCACGCTAGATACTCACAATTATTCTCATCGCTCGAGTTCTTCATCAGCCCCGAGCTCCCCTCGCAAAGTGGCGTTTGTTGCACCACTATCCGTTAGCTATGATGAACTCAGTGTGGTGGTAGCAGACAGTCAATCTGCCAAGAATAGCTCTGCCTCCTCCCTCACCGTGCTCAGTTCTGAAGCTAAGACGTCTCGTGAACACCAGTCGGTGTGTTCACCTGGAGTCAATTCCTCCAGATTTAGTCTCAGTTTAAACGAGGAGGAAATTCATGGATATACTGGCGCGAGTAATGGTGGTTCCAGTGCTGCTGAGGAACGTATGAGCCCTGAAGAACTCGTGAAAAATGTCAACCCTGAGGTTTCTCTTCAAGAACAATTGCAGTCTGATGGTAATTATGACTAGTATGTAAAAGTTGCTCTCATAAACACATTTCGATTTTCTTATCAAAGTCAAAGTTATGATTAGTGTTTATCTATTGCAAATTAGTTAATTACTGGTGATACGTTCGAGCAGATAGGTACCTAATTATATTTTTTTCCTTGCAGGAGAGTCTAACGTGCGGGACTGCCTGAGTCGTTTGTACTGCAGCTTGCAGAACGGCTGTGAGTCCTCAACGCTTGCTGCACTTGAGATGCTGAAAGAATGCTACCCTAGCCTTCCACCTCTGCTGCCTCATGCTGCTCCCCTCTACCACCTCGAGATGTATGAGGCTATGATGGATGCTGAGGGAGCTCTCAGTTTGGAGGAAGTGTGTGGAGGTGTTGTCCTTGTTGGCGCTGTTGCCAACATTAACACTGCAGTGAGAACTGGTGATGAACGCGCCCTACTGGCCGCACTCACTGACCGCTCTGCGCACATGCAGGTTACTACACATTTTTCCGCATTTACTTTATCCGTCTTGATTATTTACTATTCTGGAAGAGTTGTGTGCCTTGCTGATTCTTTTATTTGTTTAATGCGCTCAATCATGTGTCCACGCCACAGTATAAAGTTCAAAAAGAATTTCAGTAGCAACTTTGTGCAGGATGTTCACACTGAGTTGACTACTGAGTATTTGTCGAGCATGCGCGCTGCCGTGGCGCTCCTTGCTGCTGTCAATGACCGCACCGCTGTCGCTGTAGACCAGCAAATAGAGGAGGACTCAACCACCGTGTGCCCGCTGCTTTCTTTCCTGCACATCCAGCAGATCATCGACCAGGTCAACACGGCTGCAGGTAAAATTAACCACCATCCTTAGATGGCGCAATAGATTTGTTCTTGAAAATCAGTCGTCATTATCTCCCGATATATTTTTATTGTGGCGTGAATGGGCTCGATTATTGAATCCATTGACGCATCTGCATGTGTGTGTGTTACACGTAGTAACATGTAACAACATTGATACTTTTTCAGTTTACCCAGTTTTTAAAAATTCTGTGTACATGTCATTAATATGCACACAAGTGCTTCTCAACGTTGCTGTGCTCATTATTTTACAGAAGACCGCATGTCGCAACTGGCGCATGGAGAGCAGTTGCAGGTGTCGTCCGATGAAGAGATGCAGCATCCCGCCGCTGATGTGAGACACACTGCATTTCAAGAAGCAGTCGACACAGACCTCGATGTTCATATCTCTGTTTCACCTAAAAAGTTGAGGAATTCAAACTTCGGTTTTGAGCAATCCCAATGCCATGTGGAAACCCCACTGGCAAAGACACGAATCCATGAAGATGAAACGTTAAGGGTCATTCAGCGTGAGGAAGTGGAAGCTCTAGATGGATGTCCTTACATTTCTCCACCCATGCCGTTCAATTCCAGAGCGACATCTGAGCTTGTGAGGAATGCTTCTCAGTCGTCCATGGAGCCCCGCAGGCTGGAGTCCAGTTTCCAGTCATCATTCTGTCAGGAGGTTTTTGCTTCGCTATCTCACAATGTAGCTTCGGCTTTGCAACACCAGCCCGACTCTGATGATAAAACTGAAGCTATTTCCAGCGGCATCACAATCCGTAGGGAAGACTCGGTTGAGCAGGGTATGCAAATGTGTCAGAAAGAAGTTTCAGTGACTGAAACTGATCTGCAACAAAAATCTTCAAATACTTTACGAGTGTTGTCTACTGACGATATAAAAATACACCAGAACAAAACATTGCCCGTTGATGATTCTATTTGCGAAGCTCTAGGCAGTTCTACGTCACGCGTGGAATCCTTCAAAGAGGGCGATGGCAGAAGGTTCCTTCCTCAGCGAAGTTCTACTCAGAACAGTAGCCGAAGAGTACCGTTCAGTAAGCCTGTACAGCAACCTCGTTCTGGCGCTTTTTCAGTCCTGCATTATCAAGAAATGGACTCAATATCAAACCTAGGCTCTTCAAGGAGAGACTCGTCTCCCTGCCCACAAGAACCGACTTCTTGTGGCATTGAGTCCGGTCAAACTAAGCACGAGTCACTTTTTCAACATTCTGCATCAAATGATCAGTTAAAATCACAAATTGGTTCTGGTTCTCCTGGTTCAGTGCTTTCTCCTGATTCAATTTACCCAACTCCGCGGAAACTGAATCAGTGTCAACAATCGTACCTCAGTACCTCATCTGACTTGCTACCGTCTCAAGAAAGACTCTCCCTTTGTGAGACTCTAGGTGCTCATGTTGATTTATCTAGCCGTATGTCTGGCTCTAGTATTGGCCCGAACTCTGTCGCCGCTAATGTTGCTCGTGCTAACGAAAATCTTTATTGGCGCAATTATACTGAAAGAGAAGTAAAGTCGGCCGTTAGAATCCAAAAATGGTGGAGACTGCAGACAGCACTTAGTCGTTTGCAGCAGCTCCTGCGGCGCCTTCCAGCCGAGCCTCTCTCAACTAATGCCCTTCTGCAAGCCATGGTCCCTTGTTTGTCGATCTTGCCTCTGACTCGCGCCGACTTGCGCACTGAGAACAAGATGCAAGCTGCTAGAAGTGGCGTGTCACGTTGCCTTCGTGTGACCGCTGAATTACAGAAACAACTCGATGAACTTGACTTGCACATTGGTCTGCTGCTGACTAACACTATGAGCATTCAAGATCGTTCTATGGCCAGCCTTACGAAGGAGGAGTTCGCTACGTTACCTCCTTCGTGCGGAGGTGATGCAAGTCTGGCCTGTGTCAGCACGCCCTCGAAGAAGAAGAAAGATGCTCCTGAGCGAAGAGGGACCCTAACTTTAGCAACAGGACTCAAAGCCTTGCGTAAGGTTTCTCGTGATCGTCTCCAAGGATACCAACACTTATTCTACCTCTTGCAGACTGAACCGCGCTACCTTGCAACCCTTATTCTTGCTCTCCCGTGCGCTCGTACGACACGCTTCGTAGAGAGCGTTGTTTTCTCTCTCTACAACTATGGCGCCAATGATCGAGACAGTTTCTTGCTCATTAATCTGTTTAAAACAGCTCTTGAAGAAGAGATTCGCTGTAAAGTTTTGCGTATTAGTGACATTGTGTCGGGCGAGCCACTTGTGGTTAAAATGATCGTGTCTTTTGTACGGAAAGGCCCTGGTCGTGCTGCACTCCGGGAGATTCTTGGACCTCTTGTAACAAAAATAATTGAAGATAAAAACCTGAATCTCAACACAAACCCTGTAGAGATTTATCAGACGTGGCTGAACGAAATTGAGATGGAGACAGGCGAGTCAAGCGGTCGCCCGTATAACGTGAGCCCTGATGAGGCACTGGAACAACCTATGGTTGTGAAAAGGCTGCAAGTCACTCTTGAAGCTATCACGCGCCTCACCAACGAGTTTTGCAGCGCCATCACCTCGTCCATCCACAAGTTACCCTACACACTTCTATACCTTGCTGGTGTTATGCGTAGAGCGCTGGCGAGAAGGTTCCCGCACATCCAGGACAAAGAAGTGTTGAAAGTTGTGGGGAGCCTCATTTACTACCGTTACATTAACTCTGGCATCGTCGCTCCTGATGCTTTTGATGTGATAACTGTTGGGCCACACGAGCAGCTTAGTAGTCGACAGCGCCGGAATCTTGCCACCATTGCCAAAACTTTGCAGGCTGCTGCTAATAAGCGAGGCTTTGGTAATGATACGCCACATTTGTGTGCGCTGAACCGCGACTTGGTAGCCTGGCATGAAAGCATGCGAACGTTCTTCTTGTCATGCTGCAGAGTGCCGCCACCTGACGCGGTGTTCGCTGTGACCCAATACAGCGAGGCCGCCCTCATACACAAGCCTGAGATCCACCTGACCTTGCAGGAACTCTGTGAGACTCATAATTTACTACTAGCTCACCGAAATGTCCTTGCACCTTCCGCCTCTGATCCTTTACATTCAATGCTAGATGACTTGCCTCCTCCTGACATGGCTGCTATGGGTGACAGCAGTGGTAAGTTGGAAGTGTGCTTGTCGCTTAGCAGCAAATTCAGCTTTTCTGAACCGGAGCCAACCGCTGATGCCGTAGCCAACAACAAGGATGCCCAAACTAAGCTCTTTGAGAAGAGTAAGCAGTTGGTGGTAGACGTGTTGTTGTGCTACGACTGCAATGGTGTGGACTGGAGCAAAGTTACATTACAGGACGTGGTTTCAAGCAGCACTTCACCGGAACAGGAGCAACGTTTCACTCGCATGAAAACCGCCTCCGGTGCCGACTCAACATGCGACTCGTTGCATGCTGCCAAGACCCGCCTGTCTCACAACCTACGCCGTCTTCAGACCTTGGGTCTTGTTTCGCCTACTGATGGCTTCCAACAGCTACTGTTGGCAGTGGCAACTGATGTTCAGAGTCAGCGTTGTTACCGATCTAACAGAGGCAAGGAGTTGGCTCGCCTGTGTCTAGCGCTATCGCAGCTACAGCAAAAAGAACGATTTCTACGAGAACAGCGAGACTCGTTTGTGACTTACCTCTCAGCCTGCCGAGCTAATCTGATGCAGCATTGTGCCAAGAGATCACGTCATGGAGCTGGCGTGTCCGTCACATACTCTGGGAAACGCCTCAAAGAGAAAGGCGTCCTTGTAAATATTCGCGACTTCACGCCATCGCAATACTCGAGTGTTGCCTTCGTCATATCCAGAGTAGACCCAAATGCTTATGCCAGCACTAAAGCTAAAGGCGAAATAGAGCACCAAACACAGAATGGAGTTGTGGGTGCCGAAGAGAATGATAACGAAAACAACGCTGTTCGGGGGCAAGATCATTCCGCTCTAGTTTCTGGCAGCGGAATTTTTTCTGTAACTGTCAAATATCGCGGAGTCGTTGTTGATGCGGTGAAAATCTCCATACAGGCAAGTATTTCTTAAACTTGTTTGCTACTGCCAACACATTTGGTTATAATTTAGTTAGCACTCTAGATACTCATGCATCGAAATTTGTTTTGGTATGTTTTAACTTTATTTACTTTAATATCGACTCTTGAAATTGACTCCTGTAGTTTTTATTCATAACTGTGTAACTTAACTGTCTCAGATGAAGGTGTCGATGCTAAAGAGCAAAATTAGGATTGAATTCTCACTACTTTGATCATTTCCGTGATCCTAATATCATTTGGTCGCTTGACCTGTGAACTTTTTGTGTTTGTTTATGCCTAATTACAACACTTCTCTTTAACTTCACTTCTTGTCTGTTTGTCTGTCAGTCTGTCTGCTACAAATCTTGTAATCGAAATTTAATACACTTCTACTTATCCTATCGATCTGAAATTTTGCACACTTGTGTAAAGTTGGAGACAATGCATGAATCAATTGACAAAATAAATGATTTTAAAAATAAATAAAAAATTTCAATATTAAAGAAATTGAAAAATTAATTTTGTCAGCTACAAATCTTATAACTGATATTTGACACACTTTTACCTGTCTAATTGATCTGAAATTTTGCACACTTGTGTGAAATCAGAGGCAATGCATGAATCAATTAACATAATAAATAATTTTGAAAAAATTAATATATTAAAAAATTTATATATATTAAAAAATTGAAAAGTAAATTTTTTTTAGTTTGATAGTGTTCACAAGTAGAAATTGCTTGTGTTCAGACAAAGACTGTAGTAAAATGCCATGCAATTTTTTTATTTATTCCAGGGTATAATATATTTAAGTCTCCTATCGTTTGATCGCATTAACTAGAGGAAATGGTTTGTGTTCAGTTTAAGATTATAGTAATAAGCTCAGTAACTTTCTTATAAGACTTCTCTTTAACTTCACTTCTTGTTTGTTTATCTGTCTGTCTGTATGCTACAAATCTTATAATCGATATTTAACACACTTCTACCTGTCCCATCGATCTGAAATTTTGCACACTTGCGTAAAGTTGGAGGCAATGCATGAATCAATTAACATAATAAATAATTTTGAAAAAATTAATATATTAAAAAATTTATATATATTAAAAAATTGAAAAGTAAATTTTTTTAATTTTTGAAAATTAGATGAGAAATTCATTGTACATCTGCAAGATTGGAGATACTGCATTCTTTGGAAGTATTGTCTTTAAAAAGTAATTTTTAAACGTATATTTTTTCATTACAGGAGCTGTTGCATCTGCAATACGAAGGTGCACGCGTCAAGCAGATGGCTGGTGGAGCAGAAGTGAACGTCAATCTCCTCTTGCATTTGCTCAATACGAAATTTTTCAAGAAGAAGAAGTAAAATGATCATCTCATTCAGTTCCTCTCTGTCGCCTTTCTATCGATAATTGTACTGAGCTCATTTTGAACGCATTACTTTTGCTCCAAAGACTATTCTTATTGTCGATTGCTACTACATAAGTTTGAATACATTAGAACTTATCCATGACTTCTATATACTATTTTGGTATTGTAATAAATGCTTGGATCAGAAGCAAACATTATACGTAGTACCTCTATACTCGAGATCATTTTTAGTACGAATTGTACTGCTTCCAAAGAAGTAGCATTTCAGGCCAAGCCAAACAGGAAACTTGTACAAGAATTAAGCTCTCTCCTTTTTATTTTGCTAATTAGTTGCTTTGCTATTTCCACTTGCTTGTATAGATATAGGTCAATGTTTTTACTTCTTTCCATGTCTATGTTCTTTATAGTACCTTTTGCTGATATTTTTTCATGTTCTCCTAAATATACCCAATATAATTCTGTTAGGTAGTGTGGACTCGACTTCTTTGTGTTCTCTCTCCTCATCTCTTTTTCTGTTTCATCAACATTTAGTATAGTATTTCGCTATTAATTTGATGAAATGGATTATTTGTGTTTTTTTTCACAAAAGGTTTACAATATTCACGTCTTATTAACCAACAATGTATTTATCTACAAGTTTGCAATTTTTACTGAAACAGCTAATAATTAGCAATGTTGTACTCAGATTTAGTATTCATTGTCATATGCGTAGCTAATAAGGTGGGTTATTCTGATACTTTTGAAAAATTGGCTTCACGTTATCCGCAACGTTTAGAGCGGATTGCCTTTACATTTTCTTTTATGGTCGGTGCTCACTTTTTTCAGTTTAATTCATCTTGTGAGGGGTAATTATCTCACTAAATTGGTGATATTTTTTAGATTTGCTTATGCATCTGCATTGATTTGGACCAAACTATTCGAAAATTGGACAGCCTTTCAATGATGCTTCAGATACTTCTAGCAGCGATCGATCTAGACTAATGGATTATTTGGATAACTCTCCTCGATTTTGGGTGGAGGTTGACGTCGCAGGGGACAGGAGCTATTTTCCTGTTGGGGATTCTGACGCTCCCCCGATCCTCAGTCTAATTATAGTTCGACTGTAGACAAACATGATACGAAGTCCTATGATGCTTGCATTTTTGTGAACACTAGCCCTTTCACAGTTGCGCGGCTGACAAATGCTACAAAAATTTAAGCTTGCCTCAAAGCCAAGTTCACGGTCACGAAAGTGTGAACCTACCTACACCGCATACTTACCCTGGTGCAGTATCCGATGCTCCGTCGAATAAAGTCTATTAGATGTCGTTGGACCTGCAGGTAATGCATCAGATGTATAATTCTTCAGATATGCAGTAATATTTTTGCGTGTGTTAGTAATTTTTTATTCTGTGATAATTTATAGTGCAATGAACTTCTTTAGTTCCTCCTTCCTTTCAAGTAATGAAAATCTTCAAGCCTGTGGCTCAGGTCCTATACTTGTCAATCGAAATAATTTAATACAAGGCATTGAACTAAACGTACCAAACTTGGCTTGCATTTTATTTAGAGTATTGTGATTGAATAACCTAAAGATTAGTAAACATGAAGACAGTACATAAAACTATCTTTTTGTTTAGATTTTTCATTTTTGCCTCGGGAAATCTAGCGCATGCAACGTTTATTAATATCCTTTGACGCTCTAATTATCTCTTCTAAGGATAGAAATTCGAAATTGCGAACATGGCAATAGTTTTAACTCGAAGTTTACCGTCTTCGATTGTTCTGATTCGACTGCGGAGTGCTTTGAATAAGATGCCTCCTCGAAGTGTGTGTACTAACAGCGATATAGATGCGCTCGCGTCGGCCCATGCTCGTTTTAGATCTCTGGGAGAAGGATCCGTGTTGCTAGAGAAGAACAAAATGACTGGCATTGCCACCATTACTCTACAGCACCAGGAAAAAAAGAACGCTTTGTCCGGTGAGATAACGTTTCAATCCTTATTATTTGTTCGTGACTGCACCAAAAATGCGGTCTTTTCACTCATTCATCTTGATAACTCAATCGCTCTCTAAATGGTCGAATTCTAGCATTAGATGGAAGATCTTTTTACACGTCTGTTGTTGCAATAACACGAGCCGGCCGTTAAATTGTTTGTTGTCGGCGTGGGAAATAATATTGTTTGATGCCGGCATGTTCGACAGTAGGAAATGACATTATCTTGCATTCCCTCTGCCTGTAGATGACCAACAGGAATGCTAGTTTTGGGAATCGACTAGTAAAGAGCTCTTATTTAATAAACTTAGCTGGAATTTTTTAACAAAAGTCGGGAAAGGCAGTTGAGCCCTTTGTTTCAATTTAATGTATATATATAATACCAGAAATTTCGGAACAATAACTATTGCAGGTTTTCCTAATTTCATTCCAGGTCAGATGATGGTGCAGCTTGCCGATGCGGTAAGCGAGCTGGAATCGTGGCAAGAAGGGCGCGGTCTCATTTTCCGTGCAGTCGGTGATTTTTTCTGCTCTGGTGGAGACCTAACTGTTGTGCAGAAAATCAGCAACAATGCAGACGGTGATCTTATGTGCCGCTTGATGCAAGATACTACGACTCGTCTCCATCGTTTGCCTCTTGTGTCGGTGTGTCTCGTGCACGGTCGCGCGATCGGTGGAGGCGCTGAGCTGACAACCGCAACAGATTTTCGTCTTTTTACCGAAGCAGGGCGGGTACAGTTCGTACAAGGGTTTATGGGCGTATCAACGGGTTGGGGAGGTGGCACGCGGTTAGCCCGTTTGCTTGGTGCGCGCAAAGCATTAGACTGGCTACTCACAGCACGCCCTATACATGCTAGTGAGGCTTTGGATTGCGGATTTGCAGACAATATCGTCCAGCAAGACGCAGTGTATGACGAGGCTCATCAGTGGTTGCAGGAAAGGCTTAAATTTCATCCTGACGTTATTCGCGCGTTCAAAAAAACTGTAACTGGTGCTTGCGACAATGATGTAGAACAGAGTTTACTCAACGAAAGGAAGTTGTTTTCTCCTTTGTGGGGAGGCCCTGAAAACCTTCGAATGTTACAGAAGGGAACTAAGCACTGAATATCATTGTTGCTTGCTTCTGACGCGTCGCAAAAAAGTGTCGACGTGAGGTTCAGACATAACTAGCGATGTTCAATTTTCATACATTCTGAATCAAATCCAAACATCAATTTTTTCTATTAAAAAAATTATCTTTCGCGATTGTACACTGCTATAGCAAATTTATGTGAAATTAAAAATATTGAATTTATTTTCCGCATTTGCGGATATGGTTGTATTTCAGTTGTTCAGTCATCAGTCACATTTGACGGAACGGAAATTTGTACGGAAACGTTGCTTCAACTTTCTTCTACTTGTAGACCGCAGGAGCTGCTCTTTACCTACTACGGCTTTTGAGGTAAAGTTCCATAAATTATTTTGCTATCGTTATCGCAGTTCGTGCAATAATTACAAAGTTTTAAGACATTAGGTTAGGTTGTTGCTCCCTGGACATAGTGGCAAAGCAGAGAGTTTTTTAGACTCCCTCAAGTTCATTTTTGAGTCCTACTGTCCTATAAGTAGACAAGCAAAGTATCATGGATACCACTTACCAGCATTATCATACATAAGAAATTGGTTTAAATCTTGAGTAAATGAGGAGATTAAAAATGAACTGATTCTAAAAAATCTCTGGTTTGTCACTATGTGCTCCCATGTCCCATTCTATGATTCTAGTCCCTTAAGCTTAAAAACAAAATTTGATGAAATCCTATTTTTTTCATAGTTTCCATATTTTGCCTACAAAGTTCTTTATTGTGTCCTATAGGTAATGATTAGGTACTCTGAATCCTAAGTGGAAAAAACGCGACTTCAGATGGATTAGTTCGCCTGTTAATGAATTCCGTAGAGGGCTTAGGCTGCGAAAAATTGGCACTAATTCCGCAAGATGCACAAAATTGATAATGAATTCAAGATGAATTCCGCAGCGCAATCAGCAAAGCGAAATCCGCGCGAAGTTCGAAGCCAAGAAGAAAATACGGAAGCCAGACGCACGATCGAACAGAAGCTACTGGACCAGGAGCAACGTTCATGTTCGTCGACCCACTCAACCGTCGTATTGCTCGAGAAGCAAATATGACGTGAACGCGATGTACGAATACCGCCCTTCGGCTTACCAACACCAAGTACGAGAGTAATGAGACAACTAAGCAAGTCA